CCTAGACCTCAAATCCAAGAAAGGAGGCCAAGTCACATTCGATGGAGGGCAAAAAGGACAAATCATGGGGATAGGTAAAATAGGTATCAACTCCTGTATCTCCATTGATAATGTCTAATATGTTAAAGGATTAACACATAACTTGCTGAGCATAAGCCAATTGTGTGACAGTGGTTATGAAGTATCCTTCAACAAAAATAAATGTACTGTTAGTCAACCTGATTCATCCATATTATTTACGGCCAACAGATGCAACAACTTGTACAAAATAATGCTTAACGAGCTAGAACATTAAAATGTTGATTTTCTAGTCTCATATGAAAACCAGTAGCTTTGGCATAAAAAACTTGGTCATGCAAGCTTGAGATTAATCTCAAAGCTGAAAAATCATAACCTCGTAAGAGGTTTACCAAGTCTTGTCTACCAGACGAATAGTTCATGTGAAGCATGTCAAAAAGGGAAAAAAGTTAAGAGTTCATTCAAAAGTAAAAATCATGTTTCCACCTCAAGACCTCTTAAACTGCTCCACATAGATCTATTCGGTCCCACCTGGACTGCATCTATCAGTGGAAAAAGGTATGGACTAGTCATTGTTGATGACTACACTAGATGGACATGGGTATTGTTCATAACCCACAAGGATAAGTCCTTCAAGGTACTTTATATATTATGTAAAAGGGTTCAAAACGAAAAAGGAATATCAATTGCATTTATAAGAAGTGATCATGAGGGAGAATTTGAAAATAAACAGTTTCAAGAATTTTGTGAAGAAAATGGAATTAAACATAATTTTTCAACACCTAGAATTCCATAGCAAAATGGAGTTGTAGAGAGAAAGAATCGATCTTTACAAGAAATGGTCAGAACTTTATTAAATGATTTTTCAATCCCCAAACACTTATGGGCAAAAGCAGTTAATACCTCCTGCTACATTCAAAATAGAATATATATTAGGCCTATTTTGAAGAAAACTTCTTATGAACTGTGGAAGAGACGAACACCCAACATTTTGCACTTTCATCCATTTGGATGCAAGTGCTTCATTTTAAACACTAAAGATAATTTGGGTAAATTTGACTCAAAAATCGACGAGGGTATTCTACTTGGATACTCTAAAAGGTCAAGAGCCTATTGAGTCTTCAACAACAGAACTAGAACTGTTGAGGAAGGTATTCACGTAAAGTTTGATGAAAACAAGTCTAATAAAGAAATATCAGAGCTAGGAAACTTCTTTGAGAATATACAAGTGAATAAAGACCAGATGAAGAAGCCTGAGTTTGAAGAAACTATAGTTCAACAGGATGAAAGAGAGAAAAGAGAACCAGTCAATCAAAATTGGCAGATGAAAGCTCATCATCCACAAGAGCAAATCATTGGTGAAGCAAAGGATGCAGTAAGGACTAGATGCTCATTTAAAATACAGGCACAGATTGCACTACTATCCCAGGTTGAACCAAGAACCACAGACAAAGCTTTGTCAGACGAAAGCTGGGTTCAAGCCATGCAAGAAGAACTTAACCAATTCCAGAAAAATGACGTTTAGAAACTCGTTTCAGCACCAAAGGATAGAACGATCATTGGTACAAAATGGGTGTACAGAAACAAACTGGACGAATCAAGAAATGTCGTAAGGAACAAAGCCAGGTTAGTTGCAAAAGGGTACTCACAACAAGAAGGTATTGACTTTACCGAAACTTTTGCACTAGTTGTTAGGATAGAGACAATTAGAATATTGCTTGCTTTTGTTGCATGTACTGGCATGAAATTATATCAAATGGATGTTAAAAGTGCATTTTTAAACGGAACAATTTCAGAAGAGGTTTATGTAAGCCAACCCCCTGGTTTTGAAAATGACTTGCTATCATCACATGTTTTCAAATAAAACAAAGCTTTGTATGGACTAAAACAGGCACCACGAGCGTGGTACGATAAACTAAGCTATTTTCTAATAAGCAACAATTTCATAAGAGGAAAAATTGACAACACCCTATTTAGAAAAAAATTAAAAGATGATTTCATAATTGTTCAAATCTATGTAGATGACATAATATTTGGTGCTACTAACAAAAATCTTTGACAAGAATTTTCCAAGCTTATGCGGGATGAATTTGAAATGAGCATAATGGGAGAACTGAAGTTCTTCCTAGGACTTCAAATCGTCTAGTCAGATGAAGGGATCAAAATTCATCAAACAAAATATACGAAATCGCTGCTGAAAAAATATAAGATGGAAGATGCAAAACCAATGAAGACTCCAATGCATCTATCATCTACTCTTAGTCTGGATGAAGATTCACCAGACGTAGATAGCACCATGTACCGAGGAATGGTAGGTTCACTCTTGTATCTAATAGCATCCAGACCAGACATTATGTTCAGCGTTTGCGTTTGCACTAGATTTCAAGTAAGACCTAAGGAGGTACATTTACAAGTTGTTAAACGCATTTTGAGATATCTTAAAGGAACAACTAACCTAGGAATCAGCTTCTATAGAAGCCAAAAATTTTCTCTATTAGGATATTGCTCAGTATCATGGACTAGCAAAAGGCAAAGCACGATTGCCTTATCAACTTGCGAAGCTGAGTGTGTCATCGCAGGACAGTGCCTCATGCAATTGCTTTGGATCAAACATCAGTTGGAAGACTACGACATCTATGAGAGTAGTATTCCTGTACTTTGTGATAATACTGCTGCAATTAGCATCTCTAAAAATCCTGTTTTGCATTCTAGGACTAAACACATAGAGATAAAACACCATTTCATTAGAGATCATGTACAAAAAGGAACCTTCAAACTGATATATGTTAAAACAGAAGAACAACTAACAACTAGTCCCTTCAACAAGATAGATATATCTGACTAAGAGATAGGCTAGGAATGGAACTGATAGGTGAACAATAAACTGTTGTTTTGTCTACCCCTATTTCCTTTTGATGATTACAAAGGGGGAGAAGTAGGAAAGAATCTATCAAACTTGTCTAAGGGATAATCAAGTGTGGGGGAGAGCATATACTAAGGGGGAGAGCCTTAGAATCCTAAACCCTTAAATGCTTATTGATTGCTCTAATGAATGATATGAAATGCATGAACTTGATAAACTGTCTGATATGCATAAACCTGTATGTATGTTATATTGTATCTGAAACAAATTGATAGATTATATTTATCATCATCGAAAAGGGAGAGATTGTTAAGTCAAACGAAGCAATTCCCAACAAGGTTTTGAACATGACAAATATAATACATATTGTTATTTCTAACATGTGTGTTAGTGTTTTAGATAAATATAAGAACAGACAAAACTGAAAAACAGAGTACGTGTTATTACACATACTATGATCAAATAAAACGAAGCTTGGTTGAGTTGTACAAAACATTAGACGATCAAAAGCCAGACGAAAATACAATACATACAAGACAAAGCATACCACCAGTCAAAGCTCAACAAAAGTATCAGACGATGGATAACACAAGATGAAGAAATGTTCCAAGCAAAACTAAAGTCTTTCATCTTCACAACTAGCTAGAAGAAAGGAAAATTCAAGCCAGATGAAAGGAAAAGTCAAAGTCTACTTCTCAAACGAAGACTCAAATTTGAGATGCATTTCCAGATGCAGACAATGAATATTGAAAAGCGTTTGAAGTCCACTATTCACAACGAGAGATATCAAATATCGTCTACACTCATAGAAGAGCACACGAAGTCATCAAAATTATGAGAAGAAAGAAGAAAGATAAACAAGCGCGTATCCACAAATCAAAGTTGCGAGTGTCAGAGACAGTACACCTACTTTTCAGGAAAAAGACAACGCCTTTGCAACTACAATGACGAAAGGAGAACAGAAATACCTAGGTTATGATTAAAGTCAGACATAAAAGTGAACAAAATACGCAAAAGACTTTCCGTAACACAGATTCAGTAAGTAAACATTTAATGCAAGATCAAATGCATTAAATGAAAGATCTACATAGCCATGAACTTACTACTATCTGCGCCAACGGGGAGCTCCGCTTCAACGGACAATCTCTTTGTTAAGCATGTTTACCACTTCTGAAGTTGTATTACATTTTTCAAAACTTTTTTCTGACTTTTTCAATAATTTTGCATTGTCATTCTTGAGTAAAAAGTTTTCCTCAAGTAATTCAGAAATCCTTTTCTTCTGTTCCTTATAGGCTATATAAATTTTTGCCGAGTCAGATAGAAGTTGATTATATGCATGCTCAAGAGATTTAATGTCAGATTTACTAACCTCTTCATCATCAGATTCTGATGATGAGTCTGTATCTGCCATGAGACATATATTTGCTTCTTCATCATCATCAGACGATGTCGTGTCTAGATCTTCCAGGTGGCCATCATGGCCTTCTTTTTTTTGTGGAAGGTCAACTTTTTCTTTTCTTTCTCCTTCTCTTTCTCCAGTTCTGGACATTTTGTTTTGTAATGTCTTGGTTTCTTGCATTCAAAGCATACTGGCTGTGCCTTATATCCTGGAGTTCTGTTGAACTTTCTCCATCATGACCCTCCCTTCTTCTTCATCATAGAGTGGGATATCTCATCATCTGAGTCACATGTTTCTTCACTACAACTTTCAGCAGAAGCTTCTTCTGCCTTTAAGGCTTTTGAAGATGATGGTGTAGATTTAGTCTTTTGGGTTAAAAAAATATTGTGACAAGAGTTTCACTATGTCGACTAGCTACACCTACCCTAAAGTAGAGAATTGTTTCAAAACAACCCAACTTTGGTCATATGTTTTGAAAAGAACCCTATTATGGTTAAAAAGCATGTTAAAACAATGTTTGTTTAACATAAATCACATCTCGAAAGCGTAAATTAACCATTAGTTGTTAACTTTCATACGATGTGTGAATCATGCCTATTGACAAAAAAAAATATACTAATACCCTAGACCAATCTAACCTCTTTTTTTTCAGCTCGTTGTATAATATTGTATAATATTGACCGCATTTAGACATTAATTACTTGATTGGGGAAATCATAAGGTAGAAAATGAGATAATGTTCTAAGATAAACAAAATGAATTCTTCAATTCTCCCGACCCTCAAAGTTCCAAGCAAACCTTTGGGGGTGATAAACTCCCCTCTATCCAAACAAATCTGCCTTAAAAATCTTCTGTGGTTGGTATGTATCCCTTCAAAATTCAAATTGAGAATTATGTTTTGGAAGTTAGACTCTACAAGATAGGCTCTCTTTCTTGCATGTTCTTTACCTTCCCCATATCAAGTCCATGGGTTTCCTGAGTCATCAACACCATGTTGTCTGCAGAGTAGTAGCTTTGAATGGAAATATAAATACCAGCCATTGCTCACCCCCAATCAATTTTTGTTGTCACATGCAGTTTCTGTTTCTGAAAACTCAAAACTATAGTTAATGCTTTTACTCAAGAGTAGCTTCAAAGATGACTCCTTCAAGATTCCCAACAATGCACCGAGTTCCTGGCACTTCTTTCATCTGCATCCGAAGCTTAGAAGCTTCAATAATAATCATCGAATCCATGCTGCAGGGAGATAAATTTTAATTAAGTGAAAATTGTACATGCAATGTAAATAGCAGAAAACTATATTTTAGACATACCAAGAATAATTTAGAAACAACGCGAATTTGACTGATTTAAAAATCTAGTTACCACATAATTTGGTTTTGAACCTGTTTTTGAGTTATCTAAACACACCCTTATTATCTATTCCTGATGCTATTTGTTACTATACATTTTAGACACGCCAAATTGAAAAGGTAAAACTGAACCGAGTCAGACTCTGAAATGAGTATGTAGCCAATCAAACCAAAAAGTAGCAAAGCATATTTACTAAACACACCCTATATATCTAGTCCCTAAGCTATCTGATACTTTCATTTTAGATATATCGAATGTATAAAACAAAATCTGAATGTAGTCAATCTCTTACGTGAGTATGATGTCAATGAAACAAAATAGCAAGAATATTCACCAAACCAAGAAAATAAACATAAAACAGAAGAATAAAAAAAGTAGGTTACATACGTCTTAGCTCTTGATACATAGGCTAGAATGAATTTACACTTTCTTCCCTCTCTAATCTGCAGGAGCTGTTTAACAGTGTCAAAAAGCATAGGTATGCTTGACTGCTGAAAGCGTATGCATCGTCAAGGTTTCTGAAATTCACTGAAATTGAATACTATTACATAAAATCTTGATAAAATGAACATATTTTGATTTCAAGTATCACAAAATTTTGCATTGTTTGCTATTTGGCCCTCTTATTCAGTTCGGCAAATACCTTGAATCAGTCCTCATAAAGCTATGACAATATAGTTTTTGACATTTAATACATGCGAATTGTGAACCATGGAAATTTAAGAAAGAAATCACAACTAGCAAAAGATTAATAATTATGACAAAGGTGGAGAATATAAAGAGGTCAAATAGTTCTTTCAAAGGCTCTGAAACGTAAGACATAAAATTTAGCTGATTTTAAAGAAGAAACTACACAGATGGTGGGGTCATCAGCTGGGGTAAGAAATATGAATAACTAGCTTAATAGATATCTATGTATTAACCTATATGTTGTGCTGCAATATTTTCTGGAATTTATGCATAGTTCTTAAGTATATAAGGGCAGGAATTGGGAAATAAATACAAAAAGGATATAAATATCAGCTCCAAGTATGAAGTCGAACCCTCCAGGATGTTTTTGTAATATTTCATTTATCTGACCGGTGTTCCCCCATTCTAATTTCTCTGCTACTAATCCTGCATGTATATTAATGTAAATTTCAGTGGATTAAACATGTATCTTCAGTTCTTACTTTAGAAGGTTTTTAACTCACCGTGAGAAGTAGAACTAATATTCTCAGGACATGAATGCAGCTCTATGTTTTTCTTTAAGATCTGAGAGGAGACGGTATAATTAAACTATATAGTAGGTAACGGGGGATATGTTACCATCATAGGAACATGTTTTCACAACCCTACCTTGAGTACTTCTTCATTATGATCTGTCATCAAAACTTTATGGCAGAATCTGCTGCAAAGTATTCCAGTAATACCTGGGATTCAAAGCAGGAATCATTCATAGCATCAGTCTAACATACAAAATAAGGATAGGATATCAACATAATCAAGATTAAGATCCTACCTAGGATCGGAAGAGGGAAGAAACACACAAAACATGAAATAGTATGCAAATTGAAAGATCTACCTAACTACATTTTTGCATGTATTTTTGTATGTATACCAAAACAACCTTAATGTCACAACTAAAATTTAATTAAAAGTTAAACGAACAATTGAAAATCATGTCAGAACTAAAGTTTCAGCTCATTAAAAGGTTTGGTAAAAGACTCACTTCATTGTTCATCTTCTCTCATTTTTTGTTATCCATCTCACTCTATCTCTTTCTTCTCTCAAACTCTCTTCACCTTAAATATTTTTTCTCTCCATGGTCAATGGGTGGCAAGAACAAGCACAAAAGCATGAGTAGTGTTCCCTGTGTGGAGCATGTGACCAAAAAAGCTTGGGTGGTTGTTCATTGTCCATGAGTCGACCAGTGTCAGTTTAATCCGATTTTTAACAGTTTTTAAACAGTTTAATGACATCATAACCAGTCCAAAGACATTTTTTATCCAACATTTTGAACAAACCAGTCATGTATCTGGTTTCCAGTTGAACTGGTCCAACCAACCAGTCTGGTTTGGATTTAATAACACTGCTTTAAGGTCCTTAGAGTTTGGATGAGCTTGGGTTTTATTTTAAAAAATGGGTAACTTAACCAACATAGTGGTATTGTCCAATCCAACCCCACCATTTCCATGATCAAAATGACAAATCCAGATCAATCTCACCCAAACAAATGAAAAGAGTATTATGTGATTATTCTACAACTCATCACATGATATTGACTACTGTGATAGGTTTAGGTGCCCTGTAATATTTGGATTTGGGAAGATAATAAAATAAATGACAAGATAAGTATTCATTTCCCAAAACAAGGTAAACAAGCAACAAGCAATTAAGGATGCAATACTGATTTGTAAAACTAGGAATATTTTAAGGACGCATTGTTTTTTCAACAAATATTAAAGAATTTAGATATAAGAAATAAAATTTACTTTTAAAGGTGAATACATACATACCAACACCAGAACCTAATTCAATGACAGTGCAACCCTGAAGCATATTAATATTTTTTGAAAGATAATCGTTCATCAACATGGCTCCAGGCCACACCAGTTGCCCTGTCAAATCAAAATCAGCTGATTCAAGAGATAATTAGTATTGTGACCAAAGATAACAGAAGATACAGAAAGCAAAAAAGGTGCCAATCAAAAGGGCACGAAAAATGTGTGTGAATTTATACAAAAGCTTCTATGTTCCCAATTACGCATTGTTACATCATGTTCAACTCCAATTCTTGTGTAAACAGTGTTTCTAACCTAAATTTTCTATTTGGTATACTCTTTGAAGAATGGATGACCCATTTACTTCATCTAATTTGCCCCCTTTCAAATATAAGAATGGTACTATAAGGGATTACTTGGCTAGATATATTTTCCAATACAAAATTTAAGGTTTAATATTGTTACAGATATTGTGAATATATTACAGATATTGTGGATACATATATTATGGTTATTATCCTCACCATCAATTAGGGATATGATTAGATTAGTTTCCATAATATAAGAGATTAGTATCTCTATCATTTATTGTATTCACTCTATAAATAAGATTGGTGTGTGTACAACAATACACACAATTCCTAAATCACATGGTATCTAGAGCTTAGGTTCTATTCCTTTAGATTTTTTTCTTTTTCTTTTTCTTCTTGCAGAGGCCTTCACCCACCGTTGCCGGTTGCTGCCTCCGACCACCGGCCCCGACTGCT